TTCTGGGCTTTATCACTACAACAACTTCCTAATTCGTCTCCCAGCTTTCAGTGGCTGCCCTCACCAATCTAGCCTTTATGGAGTTATTGCATTGATATTCCTGAAATGTATACACACGTAAACACACACACACATATATACATACATACGTGTATATATATATATATATATATATATACGTAAATACACACACACATATATATAGAGACAGAGAGAGAAAGAGACAGAAACAGAAGCAGGGAGACAGAGACACACACATACGTATATACACACATGCTGTTATACATTGTGTATATCTGACAATGTCATTGTCATGCATTATGTATAATATATGATGATGTCACTCTCCTGCTCAAGAAATTTCAGTGACTCCCTATTGCTTTCTAGGTTAAAGCATAAATGCCTCTGTTTGCCATTAAAGCCTGTCAAAATCTGGCTCCAGTTCACTTTTCTTTCTTTTTTAAAATTTTTTTTATGTGGGGCAATTGGGTTTAAGTGACTTGCTCAGAGTCACACAGCTAGTGAGTGTCATATGTCTGAGGCTGGATTTGGACTCAGGTCCTCCTGACTCCAGGGCTGGTGCTCTATCCACTGCATCACCTAGCACCTCCTCCAATTCACTTTTCCAGACTGATTTCACATTACTTTACCCTGATACACTCTACAGTCGAGCCAAACTGGTCCACTGCTGTTCTTTATATAGGACATGTCATCTTCCTCAGTGCTCTTGCCTAGGATGTCTCTCCTGCCTGGAAAACTATCCCTCCTAACCTCCTTACTTCTTTTGAGGTTCAACTTAGGTGCCATCTCTTATACCAGATGTTTCCTAATCACCCCAGTTGTTTGTACTTCTCATCCTAGCCCACCCATTGCTGTTTTATTTTTGAGATTATTTATTTTCTTATCTACATGTTGTTTCCTACCAATAGAAGATGAGTTACTTTTGGGCAGGGACTGCTTTATTTTTACCTTTATTCATTAATTCATTTGCTCATTTATTCAAAAAATGCCAAGGTGCCAGGCACTGGGGCTATAAAGACAAAAATGAAACAACCCTTCCATTCCATCAAGGAATATATTTCAAAAACAAAGGCTTAGTGGGGGAAAAAAATCAGAGCAAACAAAACACAAACCTGCTTTGTTGGCCGGGATGAAATGTAGCCTCTGGCCAGAGGTGCCTGCCCCTTTCCTGCCCAGTAAATTCCTGTCATTGCTATTTCCCCTTGGCTGTAGGTGAAGCTCTTGCCCAAACAGTTTTGACCCTCTCGGGGTCCCAAGAAGAACTTCTCCAGCCGCAATGGAGACTGCTAGGGGTGGTGGTGCCCCAGGGAGAGCTGTCCCTGAGGCACTTGGAATGTATACTCAACCTACAGCTGCCTTAAATGTTAATTTCAGCTTGCTAAAGAAATGTACTCAGAAGACTCTGGGACCATCCTAATGCTGGCAAAATGCCTCCAGCTTCCGAATGACTTTCAGAAGCAGTGAACTCACTTCCTCTCAGCATCCTTCAGTGACAGCATCTTCCACAGCCCCAGTTTCTCAATGAGAAGGGATCATGAAGTAGTTCTGGGAATCCCTTGGCTCAGTGAATAAAAAGGATTAGGAAATACATATACTTTATAAGTAATTTTCAGTGCACTTCTTTCTCTCTTCTTTGAGAATCAGATATCCATCATCCTGTGGGAAGAAACATGTACATGATGCCCTCTGATTTATTCAGGATAGCTAGAGAAAGGAGTGCTCCGGTTTGCTGAGAAGCCTAGTTATCTTAGCCTTTCCACATACTGGCACCAGTTTCGAGTTTATGGATTCTCCCTCCAGGTTTTGAATCTGCGTGGTACTAGCCCACAATCCTCTCTAGTAATGGCTCCACAGGATCCAGAACAACTTGTAATGATGACAAGTGGGTGAGTGTTGAGCTGTTTACTGTGTGTTGTGGTAAGTGAATGACCAAGATCACATCTAGGTTTAAATCTTACGGTCCTATGAACTGTACAAAATGGGTGGTGGGATGGAAAGGGTGTTGAATTTGGAGTCAAATCCCAGCCCTGACATTTACAAACTGTATGATATTGGACAAGTCACTTAATCTCTCTGGCCTCAGTTTCCTCATCTGTAAAGTAAGGGGGTTGGACTAGATGACCTGAACTCCTTGAGAATAAAGATTGTTTGATTCCTTGTATTTATATTCTTAGCCCCTAACACAGTGCATGGCACATAGTAGGCACTTAAATGTTTATTGATTGATTGATTGATTTCCAACTCAAAATCTATGCTCCTATGAAGGCAGAGAGGATAATTGAGTAAATTAAGTAATTAAATAAAGGGATTCCCTTTATATCTGTCATTTAACCTTTGTTTGCCTTGGTTTCCTCAACTGTAAAAAGGGGATAATAATAGCACCTACTTGCCAGGATTGTTGTGAGGATCAAATGAAATTTACAAAGCACTTAGAATAGAGTTTGGTACATAGTAGACACTTAGTAAATGCCTATTTCTTTTCTTCTTTCCTTACATCTGCCCTCACCCCAATCCCATCCAGTGCCTAACAGTTTTCTTTACACAGTGGATGTATAATTAATTTGTTGAAATGGAGAAGAGAAAATTATCAATGCTCATTCCACGTATTTTACGCTCTCGGAGGTTGGGAGTGGCAACTGTCCGGAGTATTAAAGGAAATTAGAGAGCCCTTTGTCCAGATATGTCTTTATTACACCTTTCACCTGCTGTAGATTTACCTGGACTAGTTATATTTAAACTTTCCTTTGGGAATTTAAATATACCCCTGAAAGGGTTAATTCCCTTAGTAACTCAGCACTTCTCTGCCTGCCGAATCTGTCCACACTCTTTTCCAAGGTGGTACTTGGAATCTGGAGACCTAGGGTCCAGTCCCAGTCCTGCAATTTTCTACTAGTTGTGTCACATTCTGCAATCTACTTCACATCTCTGGGTCTATGAAAAAATGAGTGAATTAGATGAGATGATCTCTAAGGTCCCTTCCGTTTCCAACATTCTGTGATTTTTACAAATGACTTGGCCATCATCTATTCTCTACCAACCTATCAATTTTTTTTTTCTCACCTTGAAAGTGAAAAAAAAAAACTCCTCAATTTGCACTCAGAATTTATCACTTCTCTCTGGAGGTGAATAGCTTTTTCATCATGAGTCCTTTGGAATTGTCTTGGATCATTACATTGACTAGAATAGCTAAGTCTTTCACAGTTAATTATCCTTACAATAGTTACTGTGTACAATGTTTTCCTAGTTCTCACTTCACTTTGAATCAGTTCATGTAAGTCTTACCAGGTTTATCTGGAACCATCACCTTCATCATTTCTTACATCACAATTGTATTATATTACAACCATGTATCACAACTAATTTGGCCACTCTCCAATAGATAAGCATTCTTTTACTTTCCAATTCTTTGTCACCAAAAAAGAACAACTAAAAATATTTTTGTACATATAGATCTTTTTTCTTTTTCTTTGGTCTCTTTGGGATGCAGATCTAGGGAATTGCTACCAATTCTTTAAAGTTCATTTTAAGTACTTGCTTCTAGTTCAAACAGCATAGAGGAATTTGATAAGAACTGTTGGGAAGACTGGAAATCATGCTAGCAAAAATTATGCATAGAACAATATCTTAGACCACTTCCGCAACAAATTAAAAATGGATTCATGATCTGAATATTAAAGCTCATCCCATAAAAAATTAGATGACAAGCATATCATATACCTTTCACAGCTATGAGTAGGAGATGTATTCCTCACCTGATGAGGGACAAAGGCAATGACAGAAAAGAAAATCTGTAATTTTGAGCGCATGACATTGAAAAGCTTCTGCACAAGCAAAATGGATGCCTCTATTATAAGAAAGGAAGTGGCAGAATAGGAAAAAAAAGGTTAGATATCCAAGATGTATAGACAACATATAAATACATAAGATCAAAAGACATTCCCAAATAGATAAGTGGTCCAAAGATATGAACAGACTGCCACTTCAACCTGTTTAATTTTGGTAAAGCACTTTAGCCTCTTTGAGCCTCAGTTTCCTCATATGTATAATGAGAGTGTTAAACTAAATCCTTTCCAGTTATAAAAATCTTAATCTATGCCTAGATGACCCTTAGATCTCAGTGGAGGTAACCTAGGACCTAGTGACCAAGAATCTTGGGAATAGCATCTTCCCTCAGGACACCCCCACCTTCAGCCATCTGGGAGAGGAATAATCTCTGAAGAAACCGGACATGGAAACTGACATTGCAGGTGCTACAGGTCCCACGTCTTCAGCAGCTGCAGCTAGTGAAGCCCAAGAAAGAATGTTCTTGGCATTGGTAAGTGGTTAAACATCAGAAACACATATGGTTTTATCATTGGAGATGACACTAAAGACGATGTATTACCATCTGCCTTGTTACTGAACACTAAGGACCACCGGGCTTTTTCCATCTGCCTTGCAGCTGAAACTTCACATAGGAATGGTCTTCCTCATTAGCATATGAACCCCTTGAGAGTAGGGGCTGTCTCACTTTTCTATTTGTATCTGCAGAAATTAGCACAATACTTGGCACATAGAAAATTCTTAATAAGTGTCTCCCTCTTCCTATCCCCCCAGCCATTCATTCATTCATTTGTTCTGTCATAAGTTCCTTCCAGGTCTAAATCTATAATCCCATGATCCTCATAAAGATGCAAGTTGATATATACTGCAGGATTTTCATTCCCATTTTATAGATGAGGAAATGGAGATTAAAAAGGCCAAGTCACAACTGAACAATGACAACAACATGCTGGGTCAAACTGGTCATGTGGGGCTTGAATCCTCGATGAGCTTGGCTGTCTAAAAAATCTGCCATGGGCACCAGCTCCTGGACCTCTGGTGACCTCTTCTTGATCTCTCCACCTTTGATGCTTTCAAGGTCACAGACTAGTCTGATTCTCTTTCACCTAGAACCAGGAAAGAACAAAGAGGCAAAAGCCAGAGACACATATACTCACAGCCTTGTGTGGGTCCAGGTAAAGAGATTAATTAAGGCTCAAGGCTTCTCTCCCTACCTGGAGGTAGGCTGGAACCTTATAGAAGCTGCTGCCTCCTCATTCCAACACAGCCAGAAAGTAAAGACTGAGTCATCTCTGATTAGTGCCTTTTGTAAACATTCTCAGTTCTGAATCTGCTGCCAACAGAAAAGTTCCTCTTTTTCACATGGTAAGCAGGTCAGAAACAATACCTGCACATGCTCTGAAGTCCACATGGGGACTGAATCAGCAGGGCATACAAGGACTGAGCTCTCATTGTCCAAACCCAGTCTTCCATTACAATAATATTTGTTATAGTAACTCTAAGATTCTTTTGCAGAGACTCTAGAACTTATCCCCAATGAATATGCTTAGGTTTCCCCATTATAGGAAAAAATGTCTTCCCTCTACCATTCTACTCCTTCAAACTATAATTATAGTCATCTCTTGACATTTATGGTTTTTACATTTGCAGTTCTGGTTATTCAAGGGTTGGGCATTGATAATTAAATGGGAATTTTTGGAAATTTGCAGCATACTACCGAAAATTACAGATGATGGGTGTATATAAAGAAAAATAGTGTCATAAATGCATAAATACTACATATTATTAACCTATTTTGTCATTTACTACCATAAATATACGTATGTAAATTTATTATAAATACTTAAATTTTGGGGAAGCTAGGTGGCACAGTGGATAGAGCACTGGTCCTGGAGTCAGAAGGACCTGAGTTCAAATCCAACCTCAGACAGTTGACACTTACTAGCTGTGTGACCCTGGGAAAGTCACTTAACCCCATTGCCTAGCCAAAAAAAAAATAGTTAAATTTTGTTAAAAGTTTCAGTGTGCTAAAACAAACAAACAAACAAAAAAAGCTATGGGTTACACACTTGTCTCTACTATCCAGACTCAGTCACATGATTTTCTCTCCCAATGATTGTTGTATGTTGTGCTTTTCTTAGAAAGAAAATCTGTGAAACACTTGCTACAGCTTCACCAGTGGCTGGGAAGACTCCATGGTACGTGAGATACTGATCTCTCACATAGAAACTGCAACTTTTTTATGAGTTCAGTGTGTTGTTTTACTTATTTTGTGTGTTAAATAAATATGATCAGAATTATTAAAAATAAAGGTTTGGGATGGGGCCTAGAGTTATCCTGTTTTTTTGCATTTTCATGTGTATGGCTCCCTAACTCCCATGAATGTCTACGGATGTCTGTATATCTCTCCAGCTTATCTACAGAGGCAAATGGTATGATGGATAAAGTGTAATACCTGGAATCAGGACACTGGAGTTCCAATTCAGATTATGACACTTAATAACCTTGTAACCATGGGCAAGTTTCCTGGTCTAGAAAATGGGTACAATTAATACATATAGTGCCACATAGGGGTATTGTGAGACTCACATGAGATAATGATATAAAGTGCTTTTGTTGTTGTTCAGTCATTTCAGGCAAGTCTGACTTTTCATGACCCCATTTAGGGTTTTATTTATTTTTTTTAATTCTTATTTAGTATTTTATTTTTCCCAGTTACATGAAAAACAATTTTTTTAATTTTTAATTTTTTTTTTATTTTTAACATGTGTTTTTAAAACTTTGGGTTACAAATTTTCTCCCTTCCTCCCTCCCCACCCACCCTCATTGAAAAGGCAAGCATCTCGGTACAGGTTGTAAGTGTGTAGTCATGCAAAATACTTCCATAGTAGTCCTGTTGTGAAAAACTAAGTATATTTCCCTTCATCCTATCCTACCCCCCATTTATTCTATTCTCTCTTTTGACCCTGTCCCTCTTCAGAAGTGTTTGCTTTTGCTTTTTCCCTCCCCCAATCTACCCTCCCCTCTATCAACCCCCTGCTCTCTTGTCCCCTTCCCTCCTTATTTTCCTGTAAGATAAGATAGATTTCCACACCCCATTGTGTATGTTATTCCCTCCTTAAGCCAAATTCTATGAGAATAAGATTCACTCATTCCCTCTCACCTTCCCTCATTTCCTCTCCACTGTTTTTCTTGTCTGTTTCATGTGAGATATTTTACCTCATTCTACTTCTCCCTTTCTCCTTCTCCCAGTATAATCTTCTCTCACCCCTTAATTTTATTTTCCAGATATCACCCCTTCATCTTCAACTCACCCTGTGCCCTCTATCTATCTATCTATACATACATATAATTTTTTTCCCTCCCACTACCCTAATGCTGACAAAGGATTCATGAGTTACAAATATCTTCTTTCTCTGCAGGAATGTAAACAGTTCAACCTTAATAAGTCTCTTATGATTTCTCTTTCCTGTTTACCTCTTCCATGTTTCACTTGAGTCTTGTATTTGAAGGTCAAATTTTCTATTCAGCTCTGGTCTTTTCCATAGGAATGCTTGAAAGTCCCCTATTTCATTGAATAACCATTTTTTACCCTGAAGGATTATACTCAGTTTTGCTGGGTAGGTGATTCTAGGTTATAGTCCTAACTCCTTTGCCCTCCAGAATATCATACTCCATGTCCTCTGGACCCTTAAATGTAGAAGCTGCTAAATCTTGTGTTATCCTGATTGTGTTTCCACAATACTTGAATTGTTTCTTTCTGGCTGCTTGCAATATCTTCTCCTTGACCTGGGAATTCTGGAATTTAGCTATAACATTCCTAGGAATTTTCCTTTGGGGATCTCTTTCAGGGGGTGATCTATGGATTCTTTCCATTTCTATTTTTCCCTCTGGTTCTAAAATATCAGGGCAGTTTTCCTTGATAATTTATTGAAAGTTGATGTCTAGGCTCTTTTTTTGATCATGGCTTTCAGATAGTCCAATAATTTTTAAGTTCTCTCTCCTGGATCTATTTTCCATGTCAATTGTTTTTCTAATGAGATATTTCACATTCTCTTCTATTTTTTCATTCCTTTGGATTACTGTTACAGTGCCTTGATTTCTCAAATTGTCCCTAGTTTCCAATTTCTTTATTCTAACTTTTAAGGAAGTATTTTCTTCAGTAAGCTTTTGAACTTCCTTTTCCATTTGGCCAATTTTGCTTTTTAGGGAATTCTTCTCCTCATTGACTTTTTGGACCTCTTTTGCCATTTGGGTTAGGCTCTTTTTTAAGGTATTATTTTCTTCAGTATTTTTTGGATCTCCTTTAGCATCACTCTCAGTTTTTCTTCTCTTACTTGCTCCTTAAAAGTCCTTTTTGAGCTCTTCCATGGCCTGGGAAAAAAATCATATTTTTTCCTGAAGGCTTTGGATGTAAGAGCTTTGGCTTCTTTGTCTTCTTTTGGTTGTATGTTTTGATCTTCTTTGTCACCAAAGCAAGGTAATATAGTCTGAATCTTTTTGCACTGCTTGCTCATGATCCCAGCCAATTACTTGAGTTATAGACTCTTTGTTAAAGTAAGAGTCTGTTTCCAGTGTGGAGAATGTACTGTCCCAAGCTTCAGCGGTTTTGTGCAGCTGTTTTCAGAGATATTTCTAGGGACCTGTAAATTTTCAGTTCTTCCAAGGTGCTGTGATCAGGGGTGAGGTGTTTACTCCTTTCCTGGCCTGTGCTCTGGTCTATGAGCACTCTTTTCTGTCTTGGAACTGTGAGGAGAGTTTCTTCTCCACAGTCACTACAAGCTCCACCACACCAGCACTCCTCCTCGCCCCAGAACCACCACCCAGAACTGTGACCCAGATCCAAGTAAGGGCAAAGCAAGAGAATCCTGCACCAGCAGAGAGATCCCTGCAACCTCCCTCTGATCAACCACTCGATTCCCCTTCAGTCTGTGGGCCAGAAGCTCAGGAAGTAGCCGCGCCCCAAGGAATGGGGCTGGGACCCCGCTATCCTCTCTCATCACCATAGAAATAGACTTTTCTCACTGACCTTCTAAGTTGTCTTTGGTATTCATGGGTTGAGAAGTCTGGAAACTGCCACAGCTGCCTGCGATTCAGCCCTCTGAGGCCTGCTCCAGGGTTGCTGGGGCCTGCGTGCCCACTCCGAACTGCGCTCCTCTCCCTGCCCGGTGGGATATACCTTTCTGATCAACCATCCAGGCTGTCTTTGGTTGGAAATTTGTTTCACTGTCTTTTTGTGGGTTCTGCTGCTTCAGAATTTGTTTAGAGCCATTTTTTATAGGTATTTGGAGGGGTTTGGGGGAGAGCTCAAGCAAGACACTGCTTTTACTCCACCATCTTGGATCTGCCCCACCCCCAAAAATTTTTAACATTCCTTTTTTAAAACTTTCAGTTCCAAATTCTCTCCCTTCCTCCCTCCCCCTTATTGGGAAGGAAAGAAATTCAATATAGGTTATATATGTGTAGTCATGCAAAACATATCCGTAATAGTCATGTTGTGAAAGAAAACATAGACAAAAAAAACCTGAGGAAAAATAAAAAAGTAAAAAAGTATGCTTCAATCTGTACTCAGACACCATGGGTTCCTTGTCTGGGGATGGATAGCATCCTTTATCATAAGTCCTTCAGAGTTGTCTTGGATCATTGTATTGCTGAGAATAGCTAAGTCATTCATAACTGATCATCTTACAATATTGCTGTTACTTTGTACACAGTACATTTCACTTTGCATCAGCTTATGCAAGTCTTTCCAGGTTTTTCTGAGAGCATCCTGCTCATCATTTCTTATAGTATAACAGTATTTCATCATAATCACATACCACAATTTGTTTAGCCATTCACCAACTAATGGGCATTCCCCTCAGTTGCTAATACTTTACTCCAGAAAAGAGCTGCTATAAATATTTTTTGTATGTTTAGGTTCTTTTCCTTTTTGTTTTTTTATTTCTTTTGAGATACAGACCTAGTAATGGTATTGTTAGGTCAAAGGGTATGCATGGTTTTGTAGCCCTTTGGGCATAGTTCCAAATTGCTCTATAGAATTGTTGAATCAGTTCACAATGCCACCAACAGTGCATTAATGTCTCATTTTCCCCACATCCCCTCCAACATTTATCATTTACCTTTTCTGTCCTGTTAGCCAATTTAATAGGTATGAGGTAATTTCTCAGAATTATTTTACTTTGCATTTCTCCAATCAATAGTGAGTTAGAGTATTTTTTCATATGACTGTACATAGCTTTGATTACTTCATCTGA